ACTGATAGGTTTTTAATATACTGTATAGTGATAGTGATAAATGGGGAACAGATTAGAACCTAATTTATAAACTGTCAATGAATACTAGATTAATTATTTTGTTGATCCTGATCACCCTATTTTTCTTGCTTTCGGGCAACAATGCTTCACCTTTCAGTTCATTTTATACTCTATGGATCCTCTAAATTGTTGTGTTATACTCAGGTGACCGTTAAGGCCCTTGGGCCTCTTGTTCATAGTGCTATTTAATTAACGAATAAAGCATAAATGAACCTTTTTCTCAAAACAATATATATTATTCAATGTATTACATTGTATTTATTGTGTTATGTATCCTTAAACATAAGTTGTCAATATTGATGTCTCTCTTTTTTCGAAATTTGGAGAAATGAAACAGATTAAAAATACAACAGTGAAAATTATAAATTTATTTCTCGATATGTATTTCTGAAATGTTAACAGTGACATGTGTTAGGCTGTATCAAATCTAAAATACAAAGTTTCGATAAAAAATATTCAAATATATTATATTAGATATTTTAGGTTGACTATTCAAATCGTTGTATCAAATTAAAAGGAATTTGCTTGTTTCTGTATTTTCTAGGGATGTCAACGAATAGTCGAATATTCGACCATCAGTCGAATGGACCGACGATCGAATAATGAAACGACATTCGAATATGATTAAGAAATAAATACAATAAAAATAGTGATAACGAGAGGGAATTCTGATCTCAAAATCAAGAAACTGTTTTTCCTCAGAGACAGTCGATAAGACAATTTTTCTCAACAAAAACGGTTGACTTTCCATGTACATATAGAAAGTACTGACTGTAATTAAATAATTATACGTGCTTCACTACCGTCATTGACTGTCTGTGTTGTTTTTTGTAATAAATTATCCATCAATATACTGGGCTTTGTTTGTAAAATTATTAATTGGTCTTGATCTTATACCATGTACCAATTATATTTTGTTATTTTAAGATTGTTCCAATGCAAGGAACACACAAACCCGTGACATGTTTTAACATTTCAACAATTATTAAAACAATTCGCTTACATTTTAATGACATTTTGATAGCCGGAGCAACCAGTAACTCATTAATCTGTACCTAACTAATTAAAAGTATCACAGGCACCTGATGTTTGGATAGTGTAAGATTTCCCCCCACCCCGATTAATTTCATAACAAGCTTTAAAAATATTGACTGGCATTTTTTTAATGCTTACTAAAATGAAAAAAAATGACTATACAGACCGATTTATGAATTTGATTGACGGGGAAATCATAAATTTGGGGGAATTAGCTCTCTAAATTTATTTCATGTAATCATGCTATCAACACGGTGGATTAATTTGATGTTACTTTTTAAATAGATTTAAGTAAAAGGGTTATTGAGTTATAAATACGTCATGTACCAGAGAAGCTCGAAATAAAATTTTATTTTCAGAAAATGTTCCGAATATTCGACTATCGTTCGAATAATGCAATCGAATAATCGACTAAGGAAAATAAATATTTTGACATCCCTAGTATTTCCAGTAAAAAAAATTGTTCTTTTAAAAGGATTTGAATATCATGTCATTTATCTCTTTGTCTGTATCTCTTTCTCTCAGCTATCTGACTGTCTGTCTTTTAAACATCCGGAGCTTAAAAAAGTTCCCTTGACTAGCTAGAAAACATAGTAAAACTCCAATAATTACCATTTACATAGCACAAGGGCATATATAAATGTTTTGGCAAGTGATATCTCATTGTTCAGGAAAGGTGGACCTGTGTTTCTCTTAGATATTGCAAGCCATTTCTAAATTTTATACCATTAAAGGTTGCAACTGCAACGCTTAATGATACACTAGTGTGTATCATTAGTCGTCGATTATGTCGATATTTGCTTGTTTCATTAAGCGTCAGTGTTGCTCTGCATTTGTGACGCTTAATGGTATAATTCTATCATTAAGCGGTGATTTAGCATTAGCAGTTGAGAATGTCAGCTATTAATGCAATAATGTACGGCATTAAGCGTTGCAATTGCAACCCTTAATGATATTTGTTTCATTAAGCGGCGTTTTATCATTAGAGGTTGCTACACTGCTCTGCAGATGACACAATAGAGTGATCAATGTACATGCATCTTTACAAAAATTGGAAACATATTTGTTTCCACTCTAAGGTGCTTTTCATTACTCTGAATTTTTGAGAGTGGGGGGTTAAAAGAAAATCTCTCTCTCTCTCTCTCTCTCTGATTCTTTAAATCATAGTATGTAAGAAGAAAAGAATTCATTTAATTTTGAAAAGTACACTGCTACATTATTGTACATGACAGTTCATGTTTCTTTTTCTGTTGATTCTCACATAAGTTATATAATGAATTACTAATTTCAGAAGAAAGATGATATGACAATATAATAAGCTATTATATTTTACTAGGAATGGCAGTTGGTAACAGGTTAACCAATTACTAAGTGGGAACAACACCTGAGTACATGTAATATGGCCCTTGTGTTCGTTATCAGCAGATTCTTTTCCCTACATATTCTTATGTTAATCTTTGCAGATCACATATATTGGCCCAATCCTATCCCTGGGGGTCATGATTTCAACAAACTAATCTACAATACCTTAGAATACTTCCGTATTAATATGACTAATCAGGGCTCTGCTGTTCTTGAGAAGATTTTTAAAAGATTTTTTCCAATGTATTCCTATGTAAAACTTTGATTGTCCATTAAGGCCCCACCCTACTACCAGGTCATGATTTGAACATATTTGCAGGGGCGTTGCTTGACTTTAAATTCTAGTGAGGCAAGGGGTTTTGGGGCTGTTGAGGATGAAGCCCTGGCGGGGGCTCACACCATCCCCAACGGAAAATGGATTGGGAGGTTTAAGAATGAATTGCAAAACTCACTTGTTCCTGCACAGAAATCGTCTATTTTACCGGTTTCATTATTGAAGACTTCAGCTTGCACATTTTTTTAAATCAAATTTTGTTTTAATTTATTTCTTATTAGTACTTCACTGAATTAAGCTTTGTATATTTACCTAAATGTAAATGCCAATAGTTTAAAATACAAAATATTTTCTGCAATGTATTGTTAAAATTAAGAGGAGGAAGTGTCAATGTCTAAAAGAGCATTTCAAGTCGTACCGTTTCCACTGGAAGTAAAAACTCCGAAAGCAGATGTTGTCTCAAAAATGAATTAATTTTATTTTCACAGAATCTTTTAGGGATGATTCCTACAGGCTTTATCTGAAATTATCAATCGTTTTGAGCACTTCCGGTCAATGTGAATGAAAAAGAACCGGAAGTTATTTATGATTGATAAATTAAATCTCCTATGAGTTTATAAATATATTTTAGAGAATTTTGTGTCTCTTCTCTTATTCTTAATTCATTCTTCATCAATCAAGCTATATTAGTAATATTGTATTTCATCAGAATTCGGATGGAAGACCTACTCGTTGCTTGCAATGAGATCTCATCTTGTATTGATCAATTTTTGCTTGTGTGGATTTTTAAAAACAGGTTAAAATAGGCACTTTCATAGGGTGGTAACTCCATTTATTGTGCATAGATTCCGATGTTTTTTTCCTTTGATTTTATTTTGCTACAATCTTTAAGATAAACAAGATGTGTTTGTGAAACACTGATGCCCCCGTATGGCAACTTATAGCAAAGGTTAAGCTTTCTCAATTGCAAATCAAATCTGTTGGTACCCAAAGTAAGTTCTTGTCCCGAGGAATATACCTGTGAAATATGAAAGCCCTAGCAGGAACCATTTAAAAGATATGGAAAAGGAAAAAAATTTCAAAGGTAAGTCAAACGAAAGTCATCCAAAGGAAGGTCTTGTCACAAGGATTACATATGTGAAGTACGAAAGCCCTGGCACCAACCGTTCAAAAGTTATGGCCAAGGTTTAAGTTTTTCAAATGTAGGTCAAACTCCTAGGTCAAGGTCAAAGGGTCAAAGTTGTTGATATCCAAAAAAAGGTCTTGTCACAAAGATTACACATGTTTAGTATGAAAGCAATGCACCAACTGTTCAAAAGTTATGGCCAAGGTTAAAATTGGGTAAAATTTTGTAAAACTGGGTCAAACTCCAAGTCAAGGTCAAAAGGTAAAATATGATAGTACCCATGTGAAATATGAAAGCCATAGCTCCAACCAATCAAAAGTTATGGACAATGTTAAAGTTTTTGCCGACAGACAGACGGACGGACAGTGCAAAAACTATATACCCCCAGAATCTTCAATACAGGGGCATAAAAAGAATTGCCATCCATTTCCATAAACCTCCTAGAGGGTCTGGACACAGTTGCATTGTTTATATTTTAAATTTCTGTATTTATTAAAAAAATAACTTCAGTTTAATGAATCAAACTTACATAAATATTATTAGAATTCGATGACAATGACATTCTGCTCTACATCAAGTCAAACATCTGCATTTGTAAACAGAGCATGAGCTCTGTTATTGTCAATGTTTAAGTTTTACCAGGTGTGTTAAATGTTTACTCTCATACATCACTAAGCATAGACTGACAATAAGGGTGAAATGATTTTGCCTTCTTACATTTCTACTCTGAATTTTCTAGATTACCGTATAGTTTTTCTCATTAATAAACAACAAAATTACTGTTTTTCTTAGAAATTAAGGATAAAATTTTCTTAGAAATTACGGATAATATTTACTTTGTTAGAGTACTAGGATATGTGTCAATCAAATGCATCCTGAAATTTGTAGTTTTAATAATCTTCAGATAAAAGAAGTTTCTTAACAAACTTTTATTATATTTCAGCATGAAATGCTCTTGCAACATGTAAGTCATGATATAATACTGAAAATTTTAGAAAATATTAACTTCAAATCTGTGTCCAAGCCCCTTTAATGTTTACAACCCTACCATCATGTTGCACACTTTGACCAGAAAAAAATCAGAAACATTTGGATAAGGTGAGCCTATATGCATATATGTGTACCTCTTAAGAAATATTATACCTTGTAAAATTCCTAAAACTCCATAAATCCCAAGGCGTAGGTTCCTTTGTGAAACATTGATCTCTTTCACTACTGTGCCATTAGTTCCATTTATGTATAGATAAGGATCACCACTCCATTCACTTAGCCATATGTTTGAATAAATGCTGGCAGCATTGTAAAGCACATAAAAAAGAATAGTCACAATACTAAACATTGCTCCAACTGACTTCAGGTACACCCGAAAGACTGCAAACTTTACCTGTTGAATGAAAAGAAATAATGCATAAATATAAAATACCAGAAGAATTTAAAAAGCATACTTTTGTAACAGGAAAGGAGAAAAGGTATGGCTGGACTTGGTATTGAACGAGGCCCCATGCATCACTAGTCAGGTGCTTTACCAACTGAACATTTTTCCGCACAGGACAAACTAACACACACACACACTAACACACAATACACAAGCGCATTACTATATCCCCTCCAACTCTGTTGCAAGGGGATAACTATCCAGACCAATATCCATTGGCCAAACCACCAATTCCTCCCTCCTTAAATTCTCTTCACCCTCAAAGACACAGTTCAAAGCATTTCTGCTCTTGGCAGGACTTTTACCTGTTCAGGGGGGTGTCAACAGCACAAAATTATGTAACAAGGAAGGAGAAAATATACTACTGTACCATGAATTGAACCCAGACCATTAGCTATCCAGGCCAATATCCATTGTAATTACCCAAACCAGTACACAGAGAGCTAAGGATTTTTTTTGAAATTTAATAGAATTAAATTATTATTTATAAACAAGATGTACTTTCTATCTTACTATTAGGTCTTTCCACCTTTCTGTGGAAAGACCTATTGATATTCTTCTGTTTCTTCTTATTTTTTATTATTTTTCCGCCGTGTGATTTTGAGTTTCAAGATCTATCGAAAAGATTTATAGTTCATAAGAATGTACTCCGTAAAAGATTTTTGCAGTTGACCCTGCGTACATGAACTTTGACCCCTCAAAGAGTTATGAACCTTTTTGCAATAAAAGCTTTTTATCGCTACTCCTCCGAAACCGCAAACCCTAGAGTTACGAAACCTTCACCAATGTCTTTGACTACTTGAGAATACTTTTCAATTTTTCATTGCGAAATGATAGATCGAGATATGATAGAACGCTTCCGGTTCCAAAATATGGGCAAATTCCTGATTTTTAAATGGAATGTTGGCCGCAGCAAAACTAAAGAATGACTAAAGGTATGAACAGAAGACTTATTAGAGATTATAGAACATATCTTCTAGATTACCAGAATCGCCTTTTTATGCGTCCTTACTACTTCCGGTCGCTACCGGAAGCGAATTTAAAAAGTCGATTTTTTCAATTTTTTTGTTTTTCAAAATATTTTAATGATATTAGTAGGGTTAATAGAGACTCTTTTCAGAATGCATAATATATAATTTGTTTGAAAATTGATGATAAATATTATAATTATTATTAATATTCTTAGACAAATATTATGCATGCCATATCTCGAGAACTATTCAGTGGTTTTTCGTCAAACTTTCAGGGATAATGCGTTTTAAAAAGCCATTGTTACATTTGAAAGAATTTTGGAAAATTCCCTTCCAGTTCCATGTTATGGGCAATTTCTAAATCAGAACATTTAACACCTCAAATTAAACCTTCGTAAGCATAATGCACAAAAATAGAATTACGACATGCACAGTAAAACACATGTAATGCATTGTACTTCCATGGTAACTATGTAAACAAATGCCATCAATACGGAAGCAAAAAAGAAAAAAGGAGAGAGAGAGAGAGAGGAAGAGAGAAGGGGAAAGAGAGAAAAATTGGCCCCTAAATCGCAAAAAAAACCCCAAAAACAAAAAAAACAAAAACTTTTTTGGAGCTGCGCGAACACCTTTTGAACTCTACAGAGAAACAAGCCCGACAATAAATCTATAGCAAAAGACGAATTTTTGAGTTTTATTTATTTTCTTGCATTTTTCTTCTTCTTCTTCTTTCTTTCTTTTCTTTTGAAAGCCAAATGATATGGAAACATGTTTCTCAAAACTATTCAATTCCGATAACTATGTTGTACAACAATTTTTTTTATTCCTAAATAGGTAGTTTACTGCATACATCTTCATCGGAATTCGTGGCGTAGTGGTTAGCGTGCCTGCCTTTCAAGCTAAGGGTTCCGAGTTCGATCCCAGCTTGAAGACCAGTTTTTCTATTTTTTTTTAATTAGGTCTTTCCACCTTTCTCTGGAAAGACCTCTTGAATTGCTTTTTAGGTCTTTCCACCTTTCTGTGGAAAGACCTCTTGAAATGCTTCCGTTTATTAAGGTCTTCTGTTTCAGACGGAAGACCTTATAGTGATTCTACTGTTTTTTCTTATTAAGGTCTTCCGTTTCAATCGGAAGACCTTATAGTGATTGTATTGTTTATTATTAAGGTCTTCCATTTCAGACGAAAGACCTTATAGTGATTCTACTGTTTCTTCTTTTTATTATTTTTTTTCCCCTTTTCTTTTCCGGGCGATTTCTCAGAGATGGCTGGACGGATTTTCTTGAAATTTTCAGGGATGAAAATACCCACAGGCTGTTTTTTTCATTTTTTCAAAACTCACTTCTGGTCGTCAGATATGTCCGATTTCCGTTTTTTCCAAAAACATTTTGTCCCAGTCATATCTCAGAAACAGTAAGAGATTAAGACACCAAAGTTATATGGTTAATAGATCTTGAGGAGTAGGCAAAACCATTTGGGTCAAGAGCATCAGCCATCACTTCTGGTCACCACAGGAAGTGATAATAGAAATCGAAAATTTCAAGTTTTCTTTTTTGAATCTTTTTTTGCATCATTTTATTGCATTTTATTTGTAGTTTCGAAATATGTTGGTCTCACCGGAAACAAAAACTACAACTTCCGGCTATAAGCGAAAAACTGCATAACTGAGTATTTTACTTTCCCATAAATATTTTTTATAGGTAATGTATTTGAACTGATTTTTGAATATGTTATTCAAGACTGCAAATGTCTAGAGTAACGTCAAATATCTTTGTAAAATTCACTTCCGGTCGCACGTTTAAATGTCTCCAAATTGAAAACTTGTCCGAGTGAGATCTCAGAAACGGTAAGAGATTTAGACACCAAACTTATAGAAGTTTTAGACCTTGAGGGGTAGACAAAACCATTTGGGTTAAGAGCGTCAGCCGTCACTTCCGGTCATAACAGGAAGTGATCAAAGAAATAAAAAATTTCAACTTTTCTCTTTTGGAATAAGACTTACATTCAATAATCCAGAAGTGAAAAAAGAATTAGATAGATTACATGATCAGTACGTACTGGTCCCTGCTGACAAAGCAGGTAACAACATTGTCTTTGTTTGTAAGGCTCATTATATTAAATGTATTTTAGAGGAACTTGGATTTAATTCTACAAGTGGTAATCCAACTTATACTCATAGTTCCCTTTCTAAGGAAGAAATTCTTCAAAATCATATGTCAGTTTTGAATATTTTTAATATTCCAAACAACCAAAATGAATTCGAATTACCATATTTATATTGGATTCCGAAACTTCATAAAAATCCTTAAAAACAAAGATACATAGCGGGTTCCAGTAAATGTTCAACCAAGCCTCTATCTTTACTCCTCACTAAGATATTAACAGTGGTGAAGGAGAAACTTCAAGAGTACTGTGCAACAATATATTCCAGTAGTGGTGTAAATCAGATGTTGATACTTAAAAATTCCATGGAACTTTTGGAAAATTTGAAATCACAAGATTTTACCAAAATCAACAGCTTAAAAACTTACGACTTTTCAACTTTGTACACAACCATTCCCCACGATAAATTAAAGTCCAGGCTTTTTGATATCATTGACAGCTGCTTTTTCAATAAAAATGGAACTCATAAATATACTTACCTTGTCATTGGTCATTTGCAAAATTATTTTGTTAAAAAACATTCTGATTGTTCACACAAGTACTCTGAAGTTGACATTAAAAAGATGCTTGAGTTTCTGATTGACAATATCTATGTGGTTTTTGGAGACCAGGTCTTCCAACAACCTATTGGAATTCCCATGGGTACCAATTGCGCCCCGTTATTAGCAGACCTTTTTTTGTATTCATATGTATGCAGATGTCTAGAGTGACATGAAATATCTTAGTAAAATTCACTTCCAGTCGCGTGTTTTCTTGTCCTCAAAATGAAAAGTTATTTCAGCGAGATCTTGGAAACGGCATGAGAGTAAGACACCAAACTTATAGGAGTAGAAAACATTGGTGAGAAGGCAAAACACATGGGGTTAAAAGCGTCAGCCGTCACTTCCGGTCGTCACAAAATTGTTTGGCAACAGTAAAAGACTGTTGTCTAAAACTTTCAGGAATTAAAGTCAATCATCAGGTCATTTGCATCGTATAAAAATCGTGTGTCATCATTACTTCCGGTCGTGACAGGAAACGAAGCAAAAAAGTATTGTTTTAAGTTATTTGGTTTCTACATAAGTTTTAGGCTAATACCGACATTGGAAAAGACATGTTGATGCAAACAGGAAGTAGTATAACGGAAGACCTTCTCATTACTAGTAATGAGTTTCTAGTTATTATTATTATTTTTTTCCCCTTTTCTTGTCCCCTAGATTTCTCAGAGATGGCTGGACGGATTTTCTTGAAATTTTCAGGGATGATAGAGAGTGAAAATACCCCCAGGCATTTTTTTCATTTTTTCAAGATTTACTTCATGTCGTCAGATATGTCTGATTTCCGTTCTTTTGTCCCAGTCATATCTCAGAAACGGTAAGAGATTAAGACACCAAACTTTTATGGTTAATAGATCTTGAGGAGTAGGCAAAACCAATTGGGTTAAGAGCATCAGCTGTCACTTCCGGTCCTCACAGGAAGTGATAATAGAAATTGAAAATTTCAACTTTTCTTTTTTGAATCTTTTTTTGCATCACGTTATTGCACTTCATTTGTAGTTTCGAAATATGTCAGCCCCACTGGAAACAAAAACGACAACTTCTGGTTATGAGAGAAAAACTACATAATTTGGGTATTTTTCTTTCCCATAAATATCTTTTATAGATAAGGTATTTGAAATGATTTTTATATATGTTATTTAAACTGCAAATGTCTAGAGTAATGTCAAACATCTTAGTGAAATTCACTTCGGGTCGCATGTTTTATTGTCCGCAAAATGAGAACTTGTCTGAGTGATATCTCAGAAACAGTAAGAGATTAAGACACCAAACTTACAAGAGT